GCGCGCGCGCCCGTCCTTCCCTAACCTGCGTCGGCTGCGCACGTTCGCCCCTCACCCCTTCACCCCAGGAACCGGAGGAGGGGTGGGCGGGGTCTCCAGGTGGCTGACAGCGTCACCCATCCCAGCTTCAGTTGCGCTCCAGGTTCCGTTTCTGTCCATCCTGTCCTAAGAGTCCTGGGGGAGCATGGAGAGACGGAGGCCTGCGCGCCGCTGCCCCCAGGAGCCATCCTGCGTCCAGGACGCTCAGTTAGCTGCGAGTAGACCCTGGGCTCAGGCAGCCGGAGGAAGTCACGGGAAGGGAGTGGAAGGGTCACTCTTGGTTAATAACTGCGTGGTGGCCAAGAGCTGGTCAGGCCTGGTCACAGGTGAAGAAACTCTGGCAGGAATGACCAGTGAACTGTTAGTATGAGAGCCGCAGGGCCCACCCACCATCCGGATTGCCCAGAGCAGGCTTCGGCCATCTGGGATGCCCACAGACCTGGCCTGCAAAGAGGCTCTGCCTCCCGGCCCACTTTGAGCCCCACGCCGTGCTCCAACCTTGGTAAAGTTGTGGTTCCACGCCGTGGTTCCAAACAGACTTGCCCTAATCATTTGGATTCTATTTAAAAACTGAAATGCTTAATAAAAATGTTAAACACTGTCCTTCTAGCTAAGAAAGAAAAACAGTAGCCATGAAGCGCATTGACAGTCTGGAGGAAGCTGAACCTCGAGAATTCTCCCTAAGGACATGGCCCTGCCAGGGACAACCTCCTAGGTGTTTTACTTCACTGATTGTTGTTGTTGTTGTGTGCCCTCGAGTTGTCTGTGACTCATAGTGACCCTGTATGTACAGCAGCTCTGAAGCCTGCGGTGTCCTGAACCAAACAACTCTGAAACACCTGTCCCCTATCAACCGAGTTACCGTGTCAATCCATCTCATCTGGGGTCTTCCTCTCCTGCGCTTCCCTTCTCCCTTCTGAGCCTGATGTTCTCCAAAGATCGGTCCCTTCTGGCCACATGCCCAAAGTATGTGAGACAGAGCTTCAAAATCCTAGCCTCCAAGGAGAACCTTGATTTCACCTTGTCCAAGACAGACTATTTGTGTTCTTGGTGGTCAATGGTATGTTCAAGACGCTCCTTCAGCTCCACAACTCAAAAGCACTGATTGTTCTGTCATCCTTAGTCATTGTTCAGCTTCACTGATTAAGTTACTTAAAGGTGCAGATTCATTCCTGGTCCTGTCTTCTGCCTGGCAAAGTTAGCTTTTCACCAGGCAACCGGGACAGCAGTGACTACCTGCAAATGGGCAGGTGTGACTCAGTTCCCTTGTCTGGCTCTCTCCAAGGGTCTGGGTGGGTCACCCGGGCGCCACAGTGCCAGAGGGGCTGGACAGGGAGGTCAGATGCTTCACATCCACGTAAAGGAACACTGTGCAGCCAAGAAGAGAAAGACGTCCTGATGCAGCCACAGCTTGGACCAGTCCTGAAAGCACCTTGCTGAGGGACATGAGCAGGTCATGAAAGGACAAATATTACCAAGTGATTTCCAGAACAAGAGCTTAGCAGGTATCCTAAAACTTAAGTTCATTCGTGGTTACTGGTGGGGATGGAGAGGGGAAGGAGTGTTTGCTTGTGGGGGGTAAGCTTCTGTGAAGGATGATGGGGTGACTTGAAGAAGGATGCCATCTATGAGGAAAAGGTAGACATGGTTGACATGTGGATGTCTGCTTGGGTATTTTTCTCCACAATGGTCATCCTTAGCCATGTGCTGGCTGTGGCTGCACCCTCTACCTCCCTGCCTCCTGGGGTCAGGACAGCCTCTCAGCTCCATTTCTCTGGGCTCCAGAGTTTGCAGACGGGGCTTGTGACGCTGGTGCAGGTGAAGACCACGTGCAGCGTTTCAGCAGATCTCTGTAGCAGGTATTAGTCAGGTAGCGGCAGCTGAGGCCCTGAAGGCTGCCAAGATGCTGCTCACATCCAACCGGCCTCAAAAACCACCAGACAGGAGCTATTTTGCCTTCTGTGAAGTGGACATGACAGTGTTTCCTGATAGTGCACTGACAGTGTGGGTCCATTGGAGAAGCAGCCACAGAGTGGCCACTCTGACTGGTCACAGCCTCATGCCTGACAGCACTGTCTCTGGCTTGGCCCCAGCCTCAGCAGTCACAGGCTGGGAGACCCCAACTGGTCACTCAAGCTTGTGATCACTGGTTCCTGGCAGCTGGCCTGGTGCCTGACATGAAGTCACAAGTACACAAGGAGTGTTTGTGAATAAAAGAGTGAGACTACTTTGCACTGTCTGTTGACTGTGGCCCATGTGTGCAGTAGGAAATGGTTTGCACATCTAACCGAAAGCAAGAATGTAAACTCAGAAAAGTGACTTCATACCCGATGGCGGTGTTAGGTGCTGTCTCGTGGATTCCATACACAGCAGCCCTGTGGTCATCAGAGTGAAGAACTGCCCTGCCCACACACCCACTGTAAGCTTGTGCCCACTGTTGCAACCACTGAGTCAGCCCATCTCATGGGAAGTCCTCTTTTCTGGCTGCCCACTTTACCAAGCTTGCTATCCTCCAGGGACTGGTCCCTCCTAGTACCATGCACCAAGAACTTAGGATGAAGTCCCACGTTCCCTCAAGGCGTGTGCTGGCTGTCCCACTTCCAGTTTTGGTGTATCCTTCTGGCCATGGGATGTTTAGTATTTTTACCAACACCACAACTCAGAGGATCGGTCCTTCAGTCTTCCTGATTCACTGTCCAGTTTTTGTATACATCTGTTGTTGTGGTTACATGCTGTCAAGTCAACGACAACTCATACTGACTCTATGAACAACGGCTCTGAACCTTATCCCATCCCGAGCCCCACTCTTTCTGACACACTGAACCCCACGACCTCAGTCACTGAGTAACCCATATCATCCTGGGCTTCCTTTCTTGCACTATCTCTCCACCCTTCCAAGCATGATGTCCCTCTCCAAGAACTGGTCCCCCCAGCAACATGTCCAAAGTATGTGAAACAGAGCTTCAAAATCCTTGCCTCCAAGGAGCAACCTGGTTTTACCTTCTCTAGGACAGACTTACTTATTCTCTCAGCAATCCATGGTATATTCAATACTTTTTCAGCACCATAAATCAAAGGCATCAATTCTTCTGTCATCCTTAGTCATTGTCCAGCTTTCAGATACACAGCGAGTAATTGAGAAGACCATGACCTGAGTCAGGTGCATCTTTATTTCTAGACTGGCATTGTCATGCTTTAGCATTCTGGACAGGTCCCTGACAGCCGACTCTCCCAATACAACTAATCTTTTGATTCCCTAACTGCTCATGGCAAGAGGTTGTGAATCTGAGCAAGACGTAATCATTAACAACCTCAATCTTTTCTTCATCGGTCATGATGCTGCCTATTGGCCTGTGGTGAGGATTTTTGTTTTCTTGATATTGAGATGCAATCCTTTCTTGTTGTTGTTGTTTGAAGCCGTGGAGTCGTAGACGACTCATAGCGACCCTATGAACGAACAGCCTGAGCACTGTTCATACATAGAGTTTCCGGAGGCAAGCCATTTCGGAAGTGGATGCCGCTCCTGCTTCCAGGCTTGATTTAGTCGGGAAGCTCCAGCCAACACTGTCCACCATGGGTGCCCATTACCACGATTGGCACATCACTGTCACAGGCTTCAGCATCACAGCAACCACGAGTTACCTCTGTACAGCAACGCACAGACCAGTGCTATACCACCTAGAAGAATGTTTGACAGGAAAACATTGAACCTGGCCGAGGGCCGCAGAGGCAATGGAAATATGATGGCTTGAGTCATGTTTTGATGCTACATAACGAAATTCAGAGGTGATCAAAGCATACATGCATAGGAAAGGTCGATGGAAGAGCAGAGTACAGAAAGCACTTTCCCAGGGGGAGAGAGTCCCTGGGGAGAAGGGGGAGATGGTGCATGTTGGGGTGACCCATCCCTTCAGCAGGTGGGGGCAGGGGTGTGTCTGTGATGATGGCTAGCCTGGTACTTTATCATAAAAAGAAATGCTTCCATGGCCACATCTATTTCTGGAGTGCAATTGTGTTGAGGCAGATTGACCCAGTGACTGCAACAATGGGCCCAGATCGTGATGCCTTGCAGGGTAGGGCTCTAAGCTGAGGGTCACAGGTCACTATGAGTCAGAGCCAGCATCACCACACCTAACAGCATTGTGCTGAGAACAGCATGGTGGCAATAAAGTTGGTTCCGTAACTTCACACACCTGGTAATCCAGTGCCCAAGAAAACAGACTGGATTGAGAAAAAGAAGCTGAGCCAATGAGGACAAGGTCAGTAAATGACTTTAAAAGGAGAAGTGAGTGCATCATCTTGGAGGGCGGCCATACAGACTGTGAGCCAAGGGTCCAAAGGTGACGGTCCCCAAGGCCATCTCCACACTCACAGGGGCCCAGTCTCCAGAAACTCAGCTGCCCAGAAGGAGGGTCTCACTCAGAGAAAATTCTAGAACCTTGGGCATCTTTTGCTCTCTGCCAACGACCTGAGCAGCCACATCCTGCAGTTATACGGTGGGAGGCCCCGGGCTGGTTTGCACGCGTGGATGGTCACACTGGCTTCTATCTTGCCATCCTCCTCCATCTGAAGAAAGACAGGAAGTTGCGGTCAGTAAGGGCTGTGCTTGGCCAGGGGAGGAGAGGAACTCTCGCAAGAGAGTGAGAACTCCCATAACTATCCGACAGAGAGTCAGACAAACAAAAATAGA